CCACCTTCAAGGTGGAACCGTTGAGACAACTCCCATCGACCCCGTCTTGAAAGTATACCATGACTGTAATGATGTAACAGGATTTCTCGGTGTACCTAAGGTACCTTAGAAATCGAAACTTTTTCATAGACTTTACATAAATCCCCTTATTTGGTCATTATCTCTTTTCAGCCTGGTAGCCGAAAAGTAAAATTCTCTCTACCCGACAAGTATATCACAGAAGGAATGGTCCCGAAAAAAGTTATGGATATCGGGTCGATCAATCTTGAATTGGAATTCATGGATGAGGGACGCGAGTTTATCGTTGACTAACTCCACTATGATGTTCTCATAGCCATTGCACCTTTATATCTGTTTGTATTGTCATAACTTTGATAATTGTACATAATCAAATGTGATGAGCATGAATGAATTGCATTATTACTGGTTTTATTCGCACTGAAGAAGAAAACATTGATCTATGATCTCAAGCTGAGCAAAATTACTGAACCATCGCATTTGTTCAATTGAAGAAAAGGCTAATCAGAATTTTTTAAAAAATAACGAAGTCTCTCTCGAAGAAACAACTCTTTCACATTGCAAGTTACTGTCACTCTGCCTAATCAAAAAGACAAACAAACTGCAAACTTTCATTGAATAAAACAAGGTACAAATTCAATAAACTAGAGTTTTTGAGAGACATTTTAACTCATGAGAACAGTCGATATCACATAATTAAGGCTTCAGTTAAGCGAAAAAGTTTGTTCTTGCGTTTGTGGTAATGAAAAGAAGTTTCAATCGAGAACACAAAGCTATTAAAATGCAGCAGGATGCTCTCTATCAACTGTAATTCAGAGTGATTAGCACCTCAAAAAGAAAGTGAATATAAAGTTTTAATATAGACTATATATTTAACAGATGTATTAATACTCATGTCTAAAAATGATAAGACCCTCGCTCCTGATTTCTCGTAAGAATGGGATCAATTAGATGGCACGGTGCTATCATATTTGTCCATATCTTATATATCAACATAAGAGATAATGCGTAGCAAAAGCCGAAAGCCTTCACGCGTGCGCCAATCGAATGCTGAGATATACAAATGTTATATTCACATTCTAGTGCCCTAGTCTATCATGATAAGCAGAAAAAATTAACTAGCACTGAAATTCATTGTAAATAATATTTTACAGATAGCAACATAGAAGCAAAGATAATTTTTCACTACAAAGACGACAATCTCCAAAGAATTAAGTAATGAAATCACTCATTCTCAATCTAATGCAACCTTTTTCTTTAAATTGCTTTCTAATCAAACGTGAAGTGTATTCTCCT